AACATTTACTGGCTGTATAACTTGGGTGTAGGTGTTTAATGTCTTTAAACCTTATCTGTAAAGTGAATAATAGAAGTACCTATCTCATAAGGTTATTGGGAGGATTAAGTGATGTATTTAGGCCAGATGCTGGACATAGTGCCTTTCATATGTACTTCATAGATACTTGGTACACAGTGTAGAGTGTATTCTTCAAGTAAAATTTTGAAGAGATCACTTCAAGCAAACAAATGAAGCAAAGCCTCTCTGGGTGGAATTGCTTAGTCTTCCCACTGGTTCTTGAAGAGGCTCTGAGGAATCTGCAGAACTCAGAGTAGAGAGGGAAAAGCATTAGATTTTCCTTTTTCAAGGCATTGTGGGCGCAGAAGCAGTGAGTGAACTGAGTGACTAAATGACATAATCAGTACTTTGTTTTAGTAAGGTTAATTGGTTAAAAGGAAGGACAGTTTATTTCTTTAATAAATATTTCTTCAGCAGCTAGCACAGTGCTAGGTATTATTTAATGCATGAAGCAGGGTGATTTTAGTTCTTCCCTGTTGTCACTTGATCATACAGTGTCCTACATTATTACTTAAGTTTATGTGGTTTGGGGTGATCTCCCTAATGAGAGATCTTTAGTCTTTGAAAATAGGAAATTCTTTGTATGCTCGCAGCACCTGTGTTGGGACTCGAATAAATAATCATTGAGTTCTTGTCTCCTTTCCTCACTTTTTTCCTTATGTCTGGGTAATACAGAGATTGTATAAAATACGGTCTTTGAGTGCAAGATAAAGTGTAAGTAAAGAATGCTGTGGGAATGCCTGGGTGGCTCAATGGGTTGGGCCTCTGCCTTTGGCTCGGGTCGTGGTCTCGGGGTCCTGGGATCGAGCCCCGCATCAGGGCTCTCTGTTCAGTGGGGAGCCTGCTTCCCCCTCTCTCTCTGACTGCCTCTCTGCCTACTTGTGATTTCTCTTTTTGTCAAATAAATAAATAAAATCTTAAAAAAAAAGAACATTGTGTATGTGTATACATATTATATGTAGTAGAAAGATATTTTTGTATAAGCTGTAAATGTTTTCAGCATTTATAAGAGAAGGAAGTTCTTTCTAGTTAGGGAAGCTGGGGAGAATTTTATAGAAAAGGTAGTTTTGGGGCAGACATTTAAAGATTGGGTATAATTTCAGTAGTAAGAATGGGGATCAGGCATTCCGACAGAATGGTGTGATCAAAGGAACTGGAATAGGAAATGTAGGGGACATTTGGGAAATACAGACTGTCTGCTTTCAGGAGAGGTCTTTATTTAGAAGAGAGAAAAATAGTTATAGCTAGATTGTGAAGGGTTCTGAATTCTAAAAGTGTTTGATTTTTTTTTCTAGTAAAAGGGGGAAAGGCAGAAGGGAGGAGAGGACTATAGGATGGTAGAGGTGCAAGGTGATTAGAGGTGTGCTTCAGAAATATTAGTGTGACAGCATTGTATGTTATGAATTGGGTTAGAGTGTAGGATCAGATGCAAAGATTCTGGAGATAGGAAGTTAGGTCAGAGATTATTATAAATGATCTGGGAGAAATACCATCTGGCTTGTTATATTGTCAGGGCACTTTGAGAATAAGGGCAGCTTTAAAGAGATTTTGGTGGTAGCATCTGTTGTTTGTAGAATGCAAAGGAGAGGGGGTTAGATGAAGATGTTAAATCTTGGTGTCTTAGTATGATAATCATTATAACAGATTATAACAAGGAGGAACAAATTTGGAGATAATTATGTGTTTGGCTTTCTGAAATGCACTTTGAAATAGTGTCAGAATTTCCTGGCATTTATTTGGTTGAAACTATGGAAAGTGATGAGATTGCCCAAGGAATAGAGAGGGAAGGAAAGAGGGCAAAAACCAGAATCATACAGATTACGTAGAGACTACGAAGAACCAGAGATGGAAACAGGAAGGAATAGTTGGAGTAGTAGGAGACAGATCAGGAGAATGTATTAAATTAGTCAAGAGAAGAAAGTGCCTAAGGCAAAATAAGTGATCGATATTGTTAAGTGGGCATAGATACTGAGGATGATAGAAGTTATAAAAGATGATTGGCGGAGAAAGACAACTATCATATGATCTCCCTGATATAAGGAAGTGGAGATGCAGCGTGGGGGGTTTGGGGAGTAGGAAAAGAATAAATGAAACAAGATGGGATCAGGAGGGTAACAAACCATAAGTGACTCTTAATCTGACAAAACAAACGGGGGGGGGTAGGGAGAGGGGGGGTGGGGTTATGGACATTGGGGAGGGTATGTGCTATGGTGAGTGCTGTGAAGTGTGTACACCTGGCGATTCACAGACCTGTACCCCTGGGGATAAAAATACATTATATGTTTATTTAAAAAATTAATAAAGTAAAAAAAAAGATGATTGGATTTGGTGTCTCAATAGATGACCTGTTAAATACAAGGAGTCAATTGTGAGTGATTGGCAAGGATAGCAGAATCACACTGCATTTACAAGTGGGTCACAGTTGACTTTCTAAGGGCAGTTGGTAGTTTTGAGCCGCCTCCTTAGTTTTTTCTGGGGGCCAGAGTGGGATTTATGCAGAGTGCCTTACGTTGCATATTAACCAGATTCCTGGTTTACCACAATTACTATTTTCTTTTCTACTTTGTGGTAAAAAAGCTGGAGAGGTAGCTAGAGGGCTGTTGTTTCTCAGTTTCCCTCATTTCTCCCAGAGTTTTCAAATTGCATATAATAGAATTGATGATTGGTTCTGTTTTTTTCTACACATGTAGGTGAGCCTGGGTTTTTAACAGTGATTATGATAAGTTGATGTTCTGAAGTCCTTTGGCCTTTTGAGGATCAGATTGGTCTTTAGAGTATGTTTGATGCTTTACTCAACAAAAAAAGGTAACCCTATGTTGGGTTCCCAATGTTACTTTTCAGAGCTATAAGCCTCTATAATTCAAAAGTCTAGGAACTATTTGACTTTCTCTGTCTGGCTTATTTTACTTAGTGTAATACTTTCCAGGTCCATCCATGTTGTTGCAAATGACAAGATCTCATCTTTTTTTTACGGCTAATATTCCATTGTCTGTATATGCCATATCTTCTGTATCCATTCCTTTATTGATGGACATTTGAGTTGCTTCCATATCTTGGCTATTGTAAATGATGCTGCAATAAACATAGGGGTGCATATATCTTTTTGATAGTGTTTTTGTTTTCTTTGGTAAATACCCAGTAGTGGAATTACTGGATCATGTGGTATTTCTGCTTTACTTTTGTGAAGAACCTTCATATTGTCTTCCATAATTACTATATTAATTTACATTCCCACCAACAGTGGATGAGGGTTCCTTTTTCAATGTATCTTTGCCAATATTTATTATCTCTCTTTTGATTTTAGCCATTCTTACAGGTGTAAGGTGATATCTCATTGTGGTATTGATTTGCATTTTCCTGATGATTGGTGATATTGAGGATCTTTTCAGGTATCTGTTGGCCATTTGTATGTCTTCCTTGGAAAACTGTTTATTCAGGTCCTCTGCTTTTTAATCAGATTATTTGTGTTTTTGGTGTTGAGTTGTATCAGTTCTTTATAAATTACTTGTATTACTCCTTATCAGATATATCATTTGCAGATATCTTCTTTCATTCAGCAGGTTGCCCTTTTGTTCTGTTGATGGTTTTCTTCACTGTCCAAAAAAGTTTTTGTTTTGATATAGTCCCAATGCTATATTTTGGCTTTTGTTTCACTTGCCTTAGGAGACATACCATCTGATTTCACTTGTATGTGGAATCTAAAAAACAAATAAATGAATAAACAAAGTGGAATCAGACCTATAAATATAGAGAACAAACTGATTATTGCCAGAGGAAATTCACAACATCGGTGAAGGGGAGTAGGAATACAGTCTTTGAGTTATGGAATGAATAAGTCACAGGGATATAAGGTACAGCATAGGGAATGATACAGATTTTTCCTTAGGTTGATGTAAACACTGTAAAGGATAGGGTAATGGGTTAGTATTTATAATATGAATTTGTATATACCAATAGAAGTGCTTTTGGTTGTTATTCAGAGTATCATAGTGACTAATTTATATATGTAAACTTAGAAGGGAGTAAGGCATTATTTTGAGTCAGAATTATGTAAAAAATATAAAAGTATTAAAAATTAAAAATTGTAAAAAATTCTATCTCATTGAAAGCCTATCACTTTTTTGAACATACCTCAGTGGCTTCTCTTATGAAATTATTTCAGTCTTAAATTTGGGTGCCAGTTTATTCTTTACTAGTTAAGCTGTATTAGTTAAGCTATACTCTATTCTAGACTATGTGGGAAATAATTCAGGCTTGTGTCCAGCCATGTTGGAGACTACTGGAATGTGAATAAAACTTGTTTTTCTGGGGGTACCTGGGTAGCTCAGTTGGTTAAGTGTGTGCCTTTGGCTCAGGTTGTGATCCCAGGATCCTGGGATTGAGCACTGGTCAGTGGGGAGTCTCCTTCTCTCCTTACCCCTGCTTGTGTTCTCTTTCTCTCTCAAATAAATAAATAAAACCTTAAAAGAAACTTGTCTTTTTTGCTGTAAATTATACAAATGTATAATATTTTTTATTCTTTTGGATAATTTTTCTGTTTGTGGAGCACAGATTCTTTTCAGTATGATTCTGACCAGTGTAGTAGATTACAGACTTACTCTTTTTATTTAAACTTAAGTAATCTTTTATATGCTTTTAAAGTTAGACTGGGTCCTTTAAAAATCAAATCTAATATGATTATGTCAAGCATATATCTTAGGTTTTCTGGGGGGTGACTTAAAGGTTTAGATATTCTGTGTGGTAGTCTGACAGTCTTACAGTTGGCTTTGAAAACAGTTGCTGAACTAGAATAAGCCTCTAAAATAGCCAGTAGGTAAAAGAATATAAAAAGAGCTGTAAGTAGTAATCTGAAGAATTAAGTCACTCTGATGAATTTTTTTTATCTACTCAGGATTTGTATTAAAACTATATTTTATGTCATTGTTTCCTATCTCATGCAGTTTTCAACTTGACCAACAATGTGGATTTGGACAACACCAAAAAGAAAATGGAGATGTACCAGAAGGAAAATAAAGATGTCATTCAGAAAAATAAGTTAAAGCTGGTTGGTTGCTAAGTATTTTCTTCTTTTTTATTAGAAATGAATGCATCCATATGATCCCTGAAAAGCTATCTTCCTCTAGAATGAGTTAAATTTACAAAGAATTTAGCTGAAATCCAGATCAGAAATACTGTGTATGTATATAGGCACATAGATAGGAGGCACACTGTAGCTATAATAACTTTGATGGCATTATTAAAATATATTCTCTAAAGGAAGAACTGTGTGTATGCAGAGATTTGTCTTAAACAATTTAGCTGTTACTTCTTTAATACTTGTCTTTCTAGTTTTGGAGGAAAGCAGAAGTACTTATTTTTGAGGTACTTTATCAGGAATTTGTGATTGTTAATCAAAATGATAAAGTCGTATCTGGATCACATAGCTTGTGTTTTCATTTTGTGTTTAGAAAGACTTTCTCCTTATAGTCTTAGGAGTGTTATCATTTAGGTACTTCTTTCCTGCCATAAAGCTCTCAAGGAATTGACACTACATTCTCCTTCCATTCATACCCAGTGACTTTCTTAGAAAGGTGTCTCATTTCTGAGAGGATCAGTGTGCCATAAAAATGACTTTCTTTGCCCAGTAGCCTTCTCTGGGTACATTAGAAAATACGTTCAAAGTAGATAATAGGTAACTTGTTGCACTAGCCCCACTTAACTCATTAGTAGAAGGAGGTTCCTTTCAAGTGAATACTTTTTTCATTCAGCATTTTAAGCTAGGAAATACTAAGAATTGCTGTGAAAGAATAATCTAATTTCAGTCTAGCTATTTATTTTAAGGCAGAAATTTCTAATTATCTGAAAACTGTAGGTTATTGAATAAAACAAATACTATATTTCAGTGGGAATATTTGAGCTGCTTTTATTCTTTTTATTAATTATAATACCTAGCTATGTTTTAACTAAGTGATTTGGTTAGTAACTCATTAACATTTATTGACTGATCATTCTGTGCAGAATGTTATACCTACTAGTGATACTGACCCAACTATTTGGTATTGGCACAGACACAGACATAGGACTACATTTTTTAAGACAGTGCTAGTTGGCCTATATCAGTAACTGTGGTATCACTGAATAGAGCTTAGCTCTCTTGTGGCCCAAGAAGCATGGACTAACTTATATGGCTGATGTCTGCTAAGATAAGATAGCAACTTGCTTTTCATGTCTCTGTGAATGTTGAAGTCTCACTGTTCTAAAAACATCAAAGTTGTATGAAAGAAGAAAAAAAAGTCTTTTGCATGATTAGTCATATAAAGTGATTCATTTTTGGTATAGAGAAACTATTACTGAGTTTTCTGCTAAGGAGATCTTACTTGTTTCATGGAGGCGGTACCTATCATCAGTCATTGTGAGTATGGAGAAACTGAATGTGATCTAATCTTGAAATAGAGTCTTAGTGAAGATTACCTTAATATTTAGTCTATTTTACTTATTTATTAATTGAACTATAGTTGACACAAATTGTTACCGTAGTTTCCAGTATACAATATAACGATTCAACAAGCGTATACTATATGTTATTCTCATCACAAGTGTAGCTGTCTTCTGTCACCATACAGCACTATTATAATACCATTGACTGTATTCTCTATGCTGTACCTTTTATCTCTTAGTTTATTCATTCCATAACTGGAAGCTTGTATCTTCTACTCCCCTTCACCCATTTTGCCTGTCCCCCCCGACCCCTTGCCCCACTGGCAGCTACCAGTTTGTTCTCTGTGTTTATGGGTCTGTTTCTGCTTTTTGTTTGTTTATTAATTTGTTTTGTTTTTTAGATTTCATATATAGGTGAAATTGTGATATTTGTCTTTCTTTGACTTCTGACTTACTTCACTTAGAATACCCTCTAGGTCCATCTGTGTTGTTGCATATCACAAGATCTTATCCTTTCTTTGTGACTGAGTAATATCCCTCTGTGTGTGTATGTGTGTATGTGGGGGGCGGGTTGTGTAGGTACACTACATCTTTTTTATCCATTCAACCTTAAGTGGACACTTGGGTTGCCTATTTAGAATAGCCATATCTTGGCTGCAATAAATGCTGCAATAAATATAGGGGTGCATATATCTTTTTGAATTAGTATTTCATTTTATTTGGGTAAATATACAGCAGTGGAATTACTGGACCATACGGTATTTCTATTTTTAATTTTTTGAGGAACTTGCGTATCATTTTCCACAGTGGCTATTCCAGTTTACATTTCCACTAGTAGTGCAGAAGAGTTCCTTTTTCTCCACATTCTGGAAAACACTTGTTACTTAAAATTATCTTAATTTTTATTTTCAGTTTTCTAGATTCTCATGAGCAGCAGAGATTGCTGTGTAGAATGTCTGTCAGTTTAGCAAAATAAAATCAGTTCAATAAATTTGTTGAACATCTGCTAAGCATATTATACAGAAAGATGAATAAGAAGCCAGGTAATTTCAATACAATGTCATAAGCATGTGGAAAATGCTGTTGCTTGTTATTATAGGAGTATAGAGGAGGAATACCTAATCCATTCTGAGAGTATTGGGAAAGGCATTCCAGGTGAGATGATGCCTAAATGGGAGCCTTAAAGGACAAGTAGAACTTAACAAAGTGAAGAAGATGGGACAAGGGTGGAAATATGGATGCTGCACAAGGACATTCCAGGCAGAAAGAAATCATAAGCAAAGGCAAGAAGGCATGGATAATCAGAGTTCTGAGAGGTTTTAGTAGCTTTATATTGCTGAAGTTCAGTAGAGAGAGAGAGTTGAAGTTGGAGAAGTAGAAAGGGCATAGGTCACATAAGGAAATTTATCATGGAAAGTAATTTTGGCTTACGTAGTTAGACTGGTTAGTGTGTGTGTGTGTAGAGGGAAAGAGTAAAGTGGAAGGAGGGGCAGAGGAAGAGGGAGAGGGAGAATTCTAAGTAGACTCCACCATGGGGCTTGATCCCGAAACCCTGAGATCATGACTGAAATCAAGAGTCAAGACACTTAACTGAGTTACCCAGGTGTCCCATTGTTTTTATGTTTTAATAGGTGAAGCTTTTCTTCAAATGAAAGCTTGCTTGGAATACTTTTGTTAAAGTGATAATGGGAAGAGAGAAGCTGAATTTCTATCTGTTCAATCTCTTCTGTAGTGTACCTTAGGCTTCTTATCAGGGAGTTCCAAGATTCCTTGGAGTAATGTTATAAAAACGTGTCTGTGGATGATTGTCACTGAAGGGTTTTAAACCAAGTGGTTATAAGGTATTGTCTGTGTTAGTATAAATATAGTGGTTTGGTGGAGGCTGAATTTGAGAGAATCAAGCTTGAGTTTGGGAAACCAGTGGGAAGTTATTGCAGTCATGTTGGTGAATTTAGAGGTGACTTAGACAAGAAATGGAGAGGTGGGGATGAATTGGAGAGATAGTTTGAGTTTAAAATAGCAAGTCCAACTGATGGAGTAGGAGTGGGAGGTGAAAGCAAGGGAGGTTGATTGGGTAAGGTAGTATCATTAGGAAGAACACACAAAGATCTTTAGTTTTAAACATGCTTCCCTCTCTCAGTCCAGTACATTCTTCATTGTCCCCACAGTGTTTGATTTTTACTGATGGCTGTTCTTCCAGTTATTCATTCAGCTGGCTAGATAGCTAATCAATATTTATTGAGGCCTACTATGTCCAAGATGCTCACATATTCTATTTCAGTGAGAAAATTGAGGCTACCAGTGTCTCATTGTTAGAAATGATAGACTGTTGGTCTGAATCTCATTTGGCCTATTGGTAGCGTTTGGTGTAGTCTTCTCCCTTGATACGGAAACCCTGTACCTTAACTTCCATGGGACCACTTGATTTCCTCATCATGCTGCTGTCACCTTCCCCTTTCATCTTCTTAAAGAGGCTTAGCTTTCCTTCCTGACTCTAAAACGTAGTTCCTTTCAGGGCTTCTCTTTATGAATTACCCCTTTAAACTAATTACTCTCAAATGTTTCTGTAGCATATTGTTTTTCTCTTGAAAAACATATATTTCTCTTGAAAAACATTATATTATGCAATATACTATACTATGCGATATAGACATATATGTATAAATAGTTAATAGTATTTATTTCTTGATGTATTATAGGCACTTTTAATTCAGCATTCCAGAGCTGAATTTTTAAGTCTTTACCTCTTGTTTTTACTATTATGTTCTTTATCCAAGTATTCAAGCCATATATGGTCTCTCTTCCTATACTGTTGATGGTCTCTCCTCATCATTTTTCAATTCTGGTTCCCCCTGCATTTCTATTATTATTACCTTATTTAGGGCTCTCATCATTTCTTGTCTAGGTTATTAAAATGTTTTTCTAACTGGTTTTCCTGTCTTCAGTCATGACCCGATTGATTTGTATACTTTACTGCATCTAGTTGTCTTTCTAAAGTTATCCCTCAAATTTCCTTAATGTCGTCCTGATTATCTTAGTACGGCTCTAGTTGCCTTAGTATGGCATGAGGACCCTGCATGATCTGCCCACTGCTTGCCTTTTCAGTTTTACCTAGAACTTTTCCCCACCCCCATACTTCATGACTTGGCCATACCACGCATTCCAGCTTTATTCATGTCTTTGCACCTTTGTTTTCTCTGCCTGAATAGCTGTCCACTCTCCAATGGGGAAATACCTACTGTTTGAAGTCTTAGCTCAACCTCTTAGGTTTCCTAGGGCTGCTGTAACAAATTACTAAAAACTGGATGACTTATAACAATAGGAATTTATTATAGTTCTAGAGTCTACAAGTCTGAAATTAAGGTGTCATCAAGGTCATTCTTTCTCTAAATGCTCTAGGGAAGACTCCTTCCTTGCCTCTTCTAGTGCCTGGTGGTTGTCAGCAATCTTCAGTGCCTCTTTGATCTGTACCATTGTCTTCACATGACCTTCTCCTTTGTGTGTCTCTCCATGTTTCTAGTGTGATCCCTTTTTAACTTGATTACATCTGCAAAGACCCTATTTCCAAATAAGGTCACATTTATGGGTACGAGGGGTTAAGACTTCAACATGTATTTTGGGGGGATACATTTAACCCACAATACTGTGTATGAAATCTTTTCTTTCTCTGTGTGTCCTTTATCACTGCAAGGAGAGTTTACCCTCTATCAATTCTGTTTTCACTGTACTCTCTTTAACACTTGTTACTCTTAATTGATTATATGTCACTATTTTACTATAAGGCTTATCTTTTTCTGCTCATATGTCTCCAGTCAAGTAGTTTACTTTTCCAACTCACATATCTCAGCCCCTAACCTTTTACATTTATTCCTACTAATTATTCTATATCAAGTTTGAATTCTCTTTTCTACTGAGTTAGAGTAGCAACCTTGCCAATATAGGAGGAAAAGTTTGTAAAATTATAGGGAGAGATGCTAATAGGATGTAGCAACTGATTTAAGGGGAATGAGGATGGGGAGCAGAGAGGGAGTAAACAGAGATGAATTTATGGTTTTAAATGGAGTTGACTAAGATGTAGGTGTGTACTTAGTGGACATAAGGAATATAGGAGTATGACTTTGGGAGACCAGATGCTAAACTGAATTTTGGGTCTAGTAATGAGTTTAAATTGTAGGTAAAACATCTTTTTGTTTGAGAACTTTGTTTATCTAATGTGTGAATTGAAAAAAATCTAATAGAGGGTTTTATATATTATTTATATAAAAATATATTTTTCTTTGAGGTCTTTGTTATTCATATATTCGTGATGCTCAAACCTATTATGTTGTCTTCCTCCGTTTTATATTTTCTTGAGGTGCCATAATTTCTGTGTTCTGTCAAATTAAAAAAAAAGAGCTTTAAAATAAAGCCATTTAGATTTTACTGTATTTTTCATTCATAAGAATTAAAGAGGGGGCGCTTGGGTGGCTCAGTGGGTTAAAGCCTCTGCCTTCAGCTCAGGTCATGATCCCGGGATCCTGGGATCGAGCCCCGCATCGGGCTCTCTGCTCCGCGGAGGGCCTGCTTCCTCCTCTCTCTCTGACTGCCTCCCTGCCTGCTTGTGATCTCTCTCTCTGTCAAATGAATAAATAAAATCTTAAAAAAAAAAAAAAAGAATTAAAGAGCAAAGGCTAGGTATATTATTGCTTTGAAGTATGACTTAGAGTTGGAATAAACTTCAGAGCCTGGAATTATTTCATATTTCTGAGGAATTCCATAAAAGGAGAATGAGTAGAACTGTGGTTCATTCATATTAGCTTTGAATTTTGACTTTTTCAGTGCACAAATTTATATGCTTATCTTAAAAAATAACTTCAGTTTCTTACAACTTCCCTTAAATGAATGCTATTTGAAACTCTAGCCTCATGAAGACTTATATTTCAGCTTGGGAAAAAGAAGTTCAATACAGTGATAAGTTTTCATTATCTGGAATGTTTTAGAAATTATTTCTTATTAAATCAGCCAGTCTTTTTGATGGAGTGTTTCAATTAGTAGCTCTGTATATAGATTGTCTCTTTGTTGTTTTGTTGGGTTTTTGGTTTTGTTTTTCTTGTTAAATCTTCTAAAATGAATGACTTGAAGGTACCTGGGTGGCTCAGTGGGTTAAGCCTCTGCCTTCAGCTCAGGTCATGATCTCAGGATCCTGGGATCGAGTCCTGCATCGGGCTCTCTGCTCGGCAGGGAGTCTGCTTCCTCCTCTCTCTCTCTGCCTGCCTCTCTGCCTACTTTGTGATCTCTCTCTGTCAAATAAATAAATTCTTTAAATAAATAAAATGAATGACTTGAAACTATCTGTAATAGTTATAAATAAATAAATCCATTGTTAAGCACATTCCTGCAGCTGGGTGCAGTGTACTTGTTTAGGTGTTTGTTTAATGGTAGATGTAAGGTGCCTGGGTGGGTCAGTCCTTAAGCACCTGCCTTCAGCTCAGGTCATGATCCCAGAGTCCTGGAATTGAGCCCCACATCAGGCTCCCTGCTTAGCAGGAAGCCTGCTTCTCCCTCTCCCTCTCTCCTACTTGTGTTCCCTTTCTCACTGTGTCTCTCTCTGTCAAACAAATAAATAAAAATCTTAAAAAAATGTTAAGTGTCATTCTCTTTGACAGTACAATGTCCACATTAAATAAAATGAACTCTAGTTCCCTCAGAGTAGAAATACTGCTCTGTTAAACTGTAAGTGACTAGATGTTTTATGCTTCTAAAAAGGATAGTGTCAGAGTGTAGTTAGGATTGATTTTGGTTACTAAATTTATTCCATGTTGTATATAAATATTTCTGTTTTAGACTCGGGAACAGGAGGAATTGGAAGAAGCTTTAGAGGTAGAAAGACAGGAAAATGAACAAAGAAGACTGTTCATACAAAAAGAAGAACAACGGCAGCAGATTCTCAAAAGGAAGAATAAGCAGGCTTTTTTAGATGAACTGGTATGTATTAATGCTAAGTGCATTCAGAGTTTATCTTTCCTATTTATTATGCTGGATAATGGCATTTAAGTGGCATTTCTACTGGTATATTCAATGCTGGTATATTCAGCTTCTGTTCCTTCATTAAAAAAAAACATTTTGTCAATATCTGTTTTATTTTCAGATGAAAGAGCAATATAACTGATGTAAGACAGTGTGCTATTAATAGGTTATTTATGTGTTTTTAAGGTTACTAACTGAAACTCATTGTTTTCAGAGCAATTTTCTCCTGATTAATACTGGCTTTCTTATCACTAGCTCATTTTCAAATGTTTTGGCTTCATGGTGAAATTTGTAGTGATTGTAGTTACTCTGTGAGAACTGTGTTTCATATTTTTGCATGAGAAAATGAAAATGCCATTTTCAAAGAAATGGCAGCGTTTTGTTAGTTGTGTTTCCCGATAGCTCCCCAAGTAACAACTCACCATTGTTAGATAACAGAAATAATAATAACTAAGGTTTATGAAGTGTGTCACAGATTTGACAACATATTACTTGATGCTTATAAGCTGGGGTGACACTGTTAAAATCACAGTAGAGGGGGATGCCTGGGTGGCTCAGTTGGTTGAGCGGCTGCCTTCGGCTCAGGTCATGATCTCAGCCAGCAAGGAGCCTGCTTCTCCCTCTGCCTCTGCCTGCCACTCTGTCTGCCTGTGCTCGCTGACTCTGACAAATAAATAAATAAAATCTTCAAAAAAAAAAATCACAGTAGAAATGGTCCTCTCCAGAAAAGTCTATTTGCATTCTTCCTTTTCCTTTTCTGTCCATGTAATTAATTTCTATGTTGTGTTAACATACAACTTTAATTCTTTGGTTGATACGGTGTTTCTCTATGATGTACATGGGTAAATGTTTTATGTGTATATTTTTCTATTCTTCTTTTGGCCAGAAGTTAGCTAACCAGGTATAAAAAGAGAAAGCAAGATAATTAAATTAGAAGTAGGTGAGAAAGTAATGGAAAAGTAAGAGGGCATTAATGAGGCTTAGGTAGAAAATGCTTATCATAAACCCTATCTACTTTGTATAAGTGCAGTATAAATTGGTTTCTAAGAAGATAGTAGCATATAAAATTGAATTCGGTATTTTCCTTAGCAATTTCCATTAATTTTTCTTGAAACTATTAAGTGTCAGTTGTGGCTTTTAACAGTTGAAATGACACGTGTTTCACATTTTTTTTTGACGTTATCTTGTGAGAAATTAAAAATTTTAAAGAATGAATTAGTCAATATTGATGTTAAAATTATTTTATTAAAAGGTTTTTTCCCCATCATTTTATACAAAGAGGAACACACTTTCCTTGGTAACCCTTCTCCTTTGTTCAATTAATTGAATTAATTGCAAATATAGAACTTAGATATGAAATGAAAATACAGTTTAACATTAAAAATATTGCATCTAATACAGTCTTTAGATTTAATTTTGAGGCTAGCTAGATTTGCATAGCAATTGCTCTTGCATATTTTTTTTAGTCCTCAAAGTAGTAAGTTTTGCTGCCTCATTGAGCTGCTGTTGGCACCAAGCTCCCCTTTAATTCAGTGGAGCATGAAGCAAGATGTGAAACTGCCAATGTTGTACGTACATTGTGTATAATCTGGAGTTAATATTGGTTTTTGTGAGACCTCCCCCGCCCCCACTACTTCCTGTTTTCTTCACCTGCAAGTCATTACTGCACATACTTTCTTCACCATTTAGATCATGTAACATGGTGGTTAAATAATCCTTAGCAATTTACTGTATTCATTAGAACAATTAATTACAACAGATTGCTCTAGAATATCAGCATGTTTTGAATTCCTGGTTTCCTAATTTTAAAAATTCTGTTACTTTAATTTTTTATAATCATTAAATTTCTTTGTTAAAATATGACTATATGTTTTAGTCCTTATTGACTAATTGAAAGTATTTATTAAATTTCTTATCTTCCTGAATCCCTAATAAATAAAAAAGCACATTCTATTTCTTTTTCTATGTTTGTTCATCTGTTAGATTCTATAAAAAAGATAATATTGGCATTTGTAAATATGTCTAGAACGCTTAAATCCTAAAATTATTCTCTGGATCTAATTTAAGCAAAAGTATTACTTAATAGAACTTTTTCTCCTGTTTTGGGATTTGGTTTTTGTGCTAATGGTCACTTTTTAACCTTTGAAAAGCATTACATTATACTGTATGTGACAGGATTTTAATGTTATGATCTTAATGTTTATGGCTTAGCATTTACGTTAATGTTGCCTAAAAGTCCATTTATTTAATCCTAACTGTAAATTCAATTTTTTTTAACAGTATGGAAAAAGATTTTTAAACAGGTCCTGACTTATTAAATCTTTTTATATTCCTATTTGAAAATTCTCTTCAGTTAGGTCTTAAATTTTGTTAAGGGCTAATATTGTTGTCAAATGTAGTAGCTGATTTTTATTAGAAATATTGTTTGCCAGATGGCTTGCTTAAAGTCAGTTAAAATAATCTTTAAAAACTGGTCATTATAAAGCTTTTAATGAGTATTACAGGCAGTCTTATTAAAATTTCTTTAAATATTAAACAGTATACCTTCAGGCAATTAATGTAAGTTAGAGAACCTTTCAAGATAGACTGGAAAGCTAAGAAAAATTAAATAACTTGCAAAGCTGAATCTGCATTTTATGTATTCCTGAGAGCATGTATGTTCCCATAGTTTATTTTACTCTGCAGATTTTGTTGTTGTTAGAGCTCCTGCTTAATTCGAATTTAGCATTCTCAAAGATTTTCAGACTTCGGCGTTTTGAATGCTAAAATGGAATAAAGCAGATTGAAGTAAATTGTATGCCTTAATGTCAAAATTTGTTTTAGATTCCTAGAACGTTTATTTTTTATTAAATTTCATTTGTATTACTAAGACATTTTAATATTCAGGCCCTTTTCTATGTGAGAGCAAAACCAGGATTAAGACAGGTCAAAGTATTGATTAGCAACCTTTTTGAAGTGAACGCATCATCTTGCTTTTACACAAGGACATTCACTTACTAGAGTAAATACCAGATATGGAAGAACATTTGAATTCACTTATACTCCAAATTGAGAAGGAATGCCAAAGAAATTATTTTTCTTCTGTTAGGTTTTACATATAAAAAGATAGTAATGGCTTTTATTTAATTTAATTAATTAATTTATTTAACAGACAGAGATCACAAGTAGGCAGAGAGGCAGGCAGAGAGAGAGGAAGGGAAGCAGGCTCCCCGCTGAGCAGAGAGCCTGATGCAGGGCTGCATCCCAGGACCCTGGGATCATGACCTGAGCCTAAGGCAGAGGCTTTAACCTACTGAGCCACCCAGGCGCCCTAGTTATGGCTTTTAAAAAGTATTTTGGGCCACAGCCCATTTAAAATCTCTTAATTTTACATTTTATTTAAGATTCCTGGGGGGAGGAGCAGAGGGAAAGGGACAAGCAGACTTCTCACTGAGCACAGAGCCCAGTGTGGGGCTCACTGTCATGACCCTGACCTGGTCTGAAATCAGGTGTTGGACACCTGACCAACTGAGCCACCCAGGTGCCCCTTTTTTATAAAATTCCTTTAAAAAAAAAAAAAGATTTATTTATTTATTTATTTATTTATTTTACACACACACACACACACACACACACACACACACACACACACATCACTAGTAGGTAGAGAGGCAGGTAGAGAGAGAGGGGGAAGCAGGCTCCTTGCTGAGCAGAGAGCCCAATGTGGGGCTCGATCCCAGGACCTTGAGATTCATGACCTGAGCTGAAGGCAGAGGCTTTAACCCACTGAGCCACCCAAGTGCCCTAAAATTCTTAATGGAAATCTAGAATAGCTGCAGAAATTCACAGTATTATACTGTTACTAATGCAGAACTAATGCTTTATTGTAGAATATGAAAGATATTCAAGTATATTTTCATAGTATCTTTCATTCATTCTCCTTTATTATTGCTAAAGGCCCCAAGGCTCTATTTTATAAATACAATTTGTGTTCTTCCGTTTAAAAAAATTTAATCTTTGTAAATTGCTCTTGCAAAGCACTTCTGTTACCAAATCTTTAGGTACAAATGTATTCTAGCACAATTCTGTTGAAGTAAATTGCTCGTTACTCAAATTACTTCTGTACTGTAGCCTTAAAACAATTCCTTTAACTGTGTTAATTAAGTACATTTGTGCCTTAAAAATATTCTTAAGTTGTAAGATTTGGAAAGAAAATTAGATTCTGCTATATTTTTACTTTCATACTATGAAATGTTTAACAGTATAGTTTTCTTTAAGGATTAAAGTCTAGTTATTTATTATTTTAAAAATCTGTAGGCCATTTGAAGAATATGTGTTTTTTGTAGGTAGCCTTGTTATAGGGGATAGAAATGTGTTTGTAACCTTCATTTTTGTTTGTGTTTGTATATATTATCTCATTCCTTCTTGGCTTTCTTCTGCATGTGTTTCTGTGTTTTTATTTAACTGAAAACTCAAAAAGGAAGGGGTCTACATACATTTAGTTTAGACCTTAGTGCTACAGCACTTTAAACATGTAGGAGAACTTCATGTTAAACAGGATAAGTAAGCCTGTGTATAAAAATTAGTAATTTGCTTGTTATTAATATCTATGTGTGCAGATTTGTGTCAATAATAGCTCTGATTTAGTATCAGTATAAGATATTAGAAATATTTACTATCATTTTGTTAATTAAGAAAATCTAGAGTTAATTTCTAAAAATAAGTCCATAAAGGAGAAAATAAATATGTTTTTGCTTGTAGTTAACAATTATTCCATTGTGCAAAACAGAACAAGGATCATTTCCAAACAGCCCTCAGGTGAAATCTAATAGGAAACAATTGCAGACTGGTCTGAATTCACTGGTAGAAGAATGTGTCTTAGATAAACATCTGATCTAAGTTATAGTACTTTGTATTACTCTTTTTGTGATTAGCTTTTAATTTTTTTTTAGTTTAATAAATATGGTTGGCTTTGCTAGATGAAATAAGGCCCTGTTATATTGTCTTTAATGTGGATTTTATAAAAATACTTTTTTGCAGGTTATTTGATTTATGAATCTCAAACAGCCTTTTCTTATTATGGAATGTTAAAATTTTTTGTGAAGTGTTCTCCATAAAGTGAATATTTAGGTTGACATCAAATGCTTATGAAAAGGCATAATTTAAAATAAAAGACTTGTTGCTCATTAGTTTTTCCTTTTTAACTTTCATATTGCACTTTTACTTTTCTTACAGGAGAGTTCTGATCTCCCTGTTGCTCTGCTTTTGGCTCAGCATAAAGATAGATCTACCCAGTTGGAAATGCAACTTGAGAAACCTAAACCTATAAAACCAGTGACATTTTCCACAGGCATCAAAATGGTAAGCTGTGTTTTAATTGCTTGTTTGAAGAATATATTTTAAGGATTGCACTTTATAACTTTATATTGATTTCTACAGTTAAATTGGAAGGTTCAGATCTAGGCTAAACATGTAGAAATGTGAATACATGCAGTGTAAAGGGAAAAAGGAAAGTAATAAATTGTCTTCAAAGTACACAACACAGTTTGTTGTACATGATATTGGGTTTGTGAGTTTTTTTCTTATTCTACATAAACTTTTAAGCTGGTAGTGTAGAAAAGCATTTTTTTTTAAAAGATTTATTTATTTATTTGACACAGAGATAGAGAGAGTGAACAAGCACAAGCAGGGAAAGCAGCAGGCAGAGGGAGAAGCAGGGTCCCTGCTGAGCAAGGAGCCTGATGCGGGGCTCAATTCCAGAACCCTGGGATCACGACCTGAGCCGAAGGCAGCTGCTTAACCGACTACGCCACCCAGGCTCCCTGTAGAAAAACATTCTTAAAAGAAAATGCAGACTTCTGGTTCCCAGTATGGCATGTAAGAAGCTTGGATATTGCCATCCCATTCTAACAACAAGTAAAAAGCTGAACATACTGAAAAATCCAACAGCTTTTCTTAGATCTATGATTGAAGAGAGGTCACAAGGGAAACCACTGCCCTTAAAATTGGAGAGATCAGTAGAGAATACAGTGAATTACAACTTAACTAGAGTAGCAACCTCATGGGGAACTAGTGCTGGTATAGGTAAATCTATTATAATTGTAACTGACAAATTGCTGGAGGCTCAGTGTGGACAGCCCTAAGAGTTCAGACCTCTGTGGGGGAACCACTTATTGAGGGCCCCTGTACTTTTGTGAGTTTTTACCTCTTGCATCTCTGTCACATTCTCTCAGTGAATATTAGAGAAAAATCCCCTCTTGCTTTTAGCAGAGAAAAGGAAAAAGGAACAATTTTGAAATATACCAGAGCATTTTGTTCTTCTTATTAAGGCCTACCCTCAGGAGAAATTATTTTGTCAGAGCCTAAACTACTAGAGTTTATGGTAACCTGCCTGATGTAGGGGAAAGGAAATACTCTGTTCCAGTTGCTCAAGCCTTCTGTATGGGAGAAGGGAAACAACATAACTTCAGCCTACTTTAACCATCCTGCCCTGCCTAAGGGGAGGTGGGATGGGTTGAGAAGCACTTGTGAAGTTCACAGTCTTAGAAGCACAGGCTCTCCAAAGGACTGAGACCTGATCATAGAACTGTAAAATGCTCTGCCACCCCCACACCTCACCACTACAGTGCTAAAGGCCTGTTTATAGTGGTGCCTCTTGCCTAGCCCATTATGCTTTGGCTGTCAAGAAAAAAAATTACAAAACATACCAAAAGGCAGAAAACACAGTTGGAAGAGACAGAGCAAGCATCAAAATCAGGCTTAGATATGGCAGGGGTGTTGGAATAATCACACTGGGAATATAAAACAATTGTTATGCTAAAGGTGCTAATGGATAAAGTAGACAACATATAAGAAAAGTGGGCAATGGTAAGGAGAAGGATGGAAATTCTGAGAAAGAACCAGAAAGAAATGCTAGAGAAAAGAACTCTAACAGAAATGAGGATTAGCTTTGATGGGCTCGTTAGTAGACTAGACACCCTGATGAAAGAATCTTTGAGCAAGAGGATACATCAACACACTTCTTGAAAACTGAAAACCAAAGAGAAAAAGACTGGAAAAAACAAAAACAAAACCAGAACAGAATATCCAAGGACTGTGGGACGACTGTAAAAGGTATAACACATACATACTGGGAATACCAGAAAGAGAAGAATGAGAGAAAGGCACAGAATATTTGAAACAATAATGACTGAGAATTTATCAGATATCAAACCAGAGATCCAGAAAGCTCAGAGAACACTAAGTAGGATAAATGCCAAAAGAACTACACCTAGGTGTATTATTTTAAAAAATCAGAAAACTGAAGATAAAGAAAAAATCCTAAAGCCACTAGAGGGGAAAAAATACCTTGTCTATAGAAGAGCAAAGATAATAATTATATCTAGCTTCTCCTCAGAAGCCACACAAACGAGAAGAGAGTAGAATGAAATATTTAAGGTGATGAGAGAAAAAAAATCACCAACCTAGAATAATGTACCATACAAAATTATCTTTTAAAAGTGAAGGAGAGGGACACTTGTGTGGCTTGGTTGGTTAAGCGGCTGCCTTCTGCTCAGGTCATGATCCCAGGTTTCTGGGATCGAGTCCCATATCAAGCTCCTTGCTCAGCGGGGGAACCTGCTTCTTCCTCTGTCTGCCTCTCCTCCTGCTTGTGCATTCTCTCTCTTTGACAAATAAATACAAATCTTTAAAAAAAGGAAAAAAGGGAAGGGGAAATTGGTGTGTCTGGGTGGCTTAGTTGGTAAAGCAGCCAAGTGTTGATTTTGGCTTGGGTCATTGTCTTAGGGTCTTAGGCCTGAGCCCCACCTTGGGCTCCTATGTTCACGGGGGAGTTGCCTCTGCTCAAGGATTCTCTCTCCCTCTGCCTTTCCTCTGCTTATGCATGCATGTTCTCTCTTTCTTTCTTTCTTTTTTTTAAAAAAGATTTTATTTATTTATCTGACAGAGATCACAAGCAGGCAGAGAGGCAGGCAGAGAGAGACAGGGAAGCAGGCTCCCTGCTGAACAGAGAGCCTGAAGCGGGGCTCGATCCCAGGACCCTGGGATCATGACCTGAGCCGAAGGCAGAGGCTTTAACCCACTGAGCCACCCAGGCACTCCATGCTCTCTCTTTCTAAAATTAAAAAGTGAAGGAGAAATAAAGATTATTAGACAAACAAGGAGTCTTTTGCCAGTAGGCCTTCCTTGCAAGAAATGTGAAAAGAAGTTCTTTTAGAGCTAAGGAAAATGATACAGGCGCAGAAACTTAGATCTAAATAAAGGAAGAACATCAGAGCAGAAAGAGTGAAGGTAAAATAAATGTTTTGTTCTTAATCTAACAGATAGCAGTTTGTTTAATAACAATACTGTATTTGAATATGTTTGCTTATGTGTATGTGTATACACACACACACTTGCTTATATATAAGTAGTGAATGACGATGATGCAAGATATAAGAGGAAGCAGTTAGAACTATCTTATTATAAGGTACTCACACACCCATTTTTTTTCTTCCTAACTGCCCATTCAGGTACCCTTTTTATTTTTTTTAAAAGCTTTTGTTTATTTTTGCGAGAGAAAGAGAGAGAGAGAGAGAGAAAGGGAGAGAGAGAAAGCATTCGCGGGCACACGAGCAGAGGGGAGGGGCAGAGGGAGAAGCAGACTTGATCCCAGGACCCTAGGATCATGACCTGAGCTGAAAGCATATGCTTAACCTACTTAGCCACCCACGCACCAAGCTACTGCTTTTTGATTTTTAAAATTGCCTACCTTGTTTGTCATATGTGTGCCGCCTATTAGATTATAACATCTTGAGGGCAGAAGCTGCATATTTTAACTTTGTTTTATATGATTATGAATATGTGAGTACCTGAATAATACAAAATATCCCTGATCAATTTTAAATTTAGAAATTTAGGAAGTATTAATACATTTTCATATAATATGAAGAAAAAAATTATTAAGGAATTACGAAAGCTTTTGAATTAAGAGACAGTATAGAGAAAAGAAAATAGGCATGGAAAGACTCAGGAACAAGGGGATGGGTAAGTTCTTTCTTTGTTCTTTCTGAGTTTGTTTCCTCATTGGTAAAGTTGAAGTAATTTTTACTTTCTATAATTATTTGGAGGATTAAAAATGTATATACAAAATATTAGCCAAATGTATCTTTAATGTTATCAGTTTTTTTTTTTTTTTAAGAGAGGGAGAACTGGGGGAAGATTGAGAGGGAGGGAGAGGGTCAGAGGGAGAGAAAGAATCTTAAGTGGGCTCCATGCCCAGTGCAGAGACTGATGCCGAGCTTGATCTCATGACTCTTGAGATCATGACCCGAGCCAAAACCAAGAGTCAGCTGCTTAACCAACTGCAACACCCAGGTGCCCCATCAGTAATGTTTATTGTTATTATTATAGTTAAATATCTAAGTGAATTACATAATGATTTTTTTTATATTGTGTAATTAGGCAATAACAGATTTCTAAGATTCCTGAATTTGAGGGAATTTTATGATAAATTTGTTATTTTGATTCTTCTATAAATCCGTGGTAGTTCTGTGACCATAGTGTTTTAAAGTTTTTTAGAATTTATTTTATTTTATTTTTAAAGATTTTATTTATTTATTTGACAGAGAGAGATCACAAGTAGGCAGAGAGGCAGGCAGAGAGAGAGGAGGAAGCAGGCTCCCTGCTGAGCAGAGAGCCTGATGCAGGGCTCAATCCCAGGACCCTGGGATCATGACCTGAGCCGAAGGCAGAGGCTTTAACCCACTGAGCCACACAGGCGCCCCTAAATTTATTTTTAATTAGTATATATTAAAGGTCATTCTTTGTGATATTCAGGGACTTCACAAATATACAGTTGTATATCTACCACCACCGTCATAATATAGAGTAGTTCCATCCCTCCTCAAAATTCCTTTGTTCAAAATTCCTTTGTTTCATTTCACAGTCAGCCTGTACTTCTAGCCCCCTCTAGCAACCAGTGGTTTGTTCTTTGTCTCTATTGTTTTGTGTTTTCTAGAATGTTATGTAGATGGAGTCATACATACAGGCCTTTTAGGTCAAGCTTTGTTAACTTAGCAACATGTATTTGAGATCATGCATGTTGTTGTTGTTCCTTTTTGTTGAGTAACCAGTTTCTTTATTTATCAGTTGAAGGACATTTGGATTTGTGTTTTGTTTTTTAATGATTATGAGTGAAGCTGCTGTAAACATTTGCATGCAGTTTTGTGTGTATGTAAGTTTTCATGTCTATTGGCTAAATATTAAGAATGAAATTGGAGAATTGTATCAAAGTGGCTGTACCAGTTTGCATTCCCACCCACCTTTTATGAGTGTTCTAATTGCTCTGTTTCCTTGCCAATGCACAGTATTTTGTGTTTTAA